ATTTTAAATATAGACATTATTTACATGAATGATAAAATACTATTGTTTTTTTTTTAATATTATAAAGATGCTAATAACTAATGCTGTGCATTAACTTATATATATTCTTTCATTTACTTTATTGATTAAAAAATAAAGTGATAATAATCAAAAAATTTATACATTTTCTACATGCTATGCATAAAGAATCCACATATCTTATTGTATTTTATTTAAAATTTGTATTTTACATTTATGTAGGTGCAAATTTTTAAGTCGTGCAATAGGGGTGTATTGCTTAGCTCAATTGCCTGAATCAAAATCGGAACAACAGTTAGTAAGATTTACACCTCATTCACCTGGAGTAGCATCATCAAGAACAGTTGATCCAGATGTAATGGAAATTCGACCTAGTACAGAAGCTATTAAAGCCATGCAAACTTTAGAAGGACTTGTATTAAACAAACAATACGCAGAGCTTAAAGTATATATAGAGCGATCCATTCAGTTAATCAGAGATCCAGCTAATTCTTTACATAATGCAGCAATGATTGTAGGCAAACTAACAAATGAACTTTACAATCAAAGATATTTGCATGTCTTGATAGATTAATGTAATTATTGTTTTGATAGAGTAGTTTAATAAGTAATTTTGTCCCTTAATTTATGTTTATTTTCTATCGTATAAAAATTAAAAACAGTACTTTTTTACATAAACTCTATAATTCAATTTATATAAACTTAAATTTTATGCAAATCTGTTCATAAACATTTGACTATATATATTGGTTATACAGGGTGCACCATAATATGAGAACATAACTTCAATGATGGATTCAGCATACAAAAATAATAAAAAAAAGTTCATATAAACGTTTGTTCTATTTGACCTTGTTTTCGAGTTATAATCGTTTCGTTATTCCACTAATTTTTTGAAATTGAGCTTCTTTAGAGCCAAATAGATTAGAATTCATTCAATTGTTTATAAGTAACGCTTAATATTTTACGTATGACCTTACTAGCTATTATGAACGGATCAGAAGGTCAATGATAAGACGTTTAGAGGCTTAAGATAGTTACTTCAAACCGAAGTAACGAAGCCGAAGGTAATTACTTCAAACAAGTTTTGTGAAGACAGGTGAACAAATGGTACAATACAAAATCGGCTGCAATTCGGAAACAAGGTCAGATAGGACAAACATTTATATGAACTTTTTTTATTATTTTTGTGTACTGAATACATCACTGAAGTTATACCCACATATTATAGTACACCCTGTATGTTAGTAGTTATTTAAAGAAAAAACAAAGATTGTGTATGTATTATAATTTGTACAAAATATATCATTTTACATTTATGTCATTTTATATATTCAAATATTTGAAAAATAAATATATATAG